ATTGTCAAATGAGTGATGCATACCTCATGCATATAGGGATTTGGGGAGGAGAGGTAACAGGAGGGTTGGCAGGATTGAGAAAGGGAGGAACAATGAAAGGAGGAGGAAAAGGCAAGAGAGAAGTGATCAAGTACTGAATGACTGGGCTAGAAAAGGAAGGAGCACAAGGGCATGGCACAAGCAAAGGTGTAGGGTCAGAAATGAGTGTGACAGGTTCTGGGTTTCTGCTGTGAGGTCGTAGTGCCTCAGAGTCATCATTCCAGAGGTCAAAATTCCTTGCTAGGAAATTAGTAGGCAATTATACTGCATGTGTGCTAATCCCTGGGACTTTCTCTAAGTGATTATATGAAGCCTGACACAATGAAAACAGTGGGAAAAAACTAAAATAAAAAAAAAGACTTTCCCAGATTTGCTTTTTTCCTGCAAAAAATATACAATCCTGATACACTGAAGCTTGCTTCCTGCAGATGTGATTTTATTTAATTGAGATATTGGTGAATAATATTATAAAACTTAGCAGTATTGTGTGTGGAAGGACAAGCTATACTTGTGCAGAGGTCCCTGAAATGTTGTGGGGAAGCTATTAATAGACTTATTACAAATATCATTTGCATTTTACCTATGGACTGAAGCTTTCCAATGGTTTCCAGGGGAGGAAGTAATAAAGAGGAGTCAGGTGAGGTGAAGGAACCTTGATTTGTGGGCTTGGCTTTCTTGTTACTCTTTGACAGTGACCTCATGATTTATAAAGATGACTTCCTAATCTCTTCATCCCACACATTTACTAGAATCACAGACATTACCAGCCTCCTTACTTTCTGTTTGGAATGAATGGATTCACCACCCTCTAAAACAGTGTTAAGCAGAATTATGAGGCTATAGAATACGTTCCCCTATGGAAGACCAGACTTGGCCAAAGGATGCATGAAGTCTAAGCCTCTGTGTAAAATACACAGAAGAACCAGTTCAGCACGCTGCAATGTATTTATTTATTTTTTATTTATTTTTTTAAATTCTTTATTTTTTATTTATTTTATTTTTTATTATTTTTTTAAGATTTTATTTATTTATTCATAGAGACACAGAGAGAGAGAGAGGCAGAGACACAGGCAGAGGGACAAGCAGGCTCCATGCAGAGAGCCTGACGTGGGACTGGATCCAGGGTCTCCAGGATCACGCCCTGGGCTGCAGGCGGCGCTAAACCGCTGCGCCACTGGGGCTGCCCCTGCAATGTATTTATGATTTCCCTGTCAGAGTTGAGGTTTTGAAATGGTAGGTGGGCCCGTGGAATTCACTGGACATCCTTGGAAATTCCTTCTGGTTGACATGAAGCAATAGTATCCTGGATGTCTTTTATGAGGTGCTGGGCCTGGGGACTTGGGTCAGGGGCAATCACATAGTAGGACACCCTCTCTGTCCTGACTTTCCTTTGGAATATTTAAATCTTGGTGAGACCCCTTAAGATGCTCAGTTGAGGTAAATGAAAATGGAGATGAGCGGAAAAGACAGAGAGCAGCCCCATTGCTTTATCTTATGATGGGAACTATGGAAGTAGCTATTTGGGGACTGATTTGCATATTAACCAGAGTTCTGTTTTTTCCTTTCTTCTTTTTTGTAAAGCCCAGCTGGCTAGGGCCACCACCTTGTGCCCCTGGCTACCTCCCAGAAACCCTACCCAATTTGCCACTGTCCACCTACTACCCAGCTTCCTACCCTGCAGCGACATCTCAGGGCTCAGCCACAGATGCAGGTTTCTTTCTCCCCTGGGTCCCCACAGCCTCCTTTTCCACTCCTGACTTAAAACTTCTTTTGCTTCATCTCTCTTGTCTCCCTTGTTGAAGGGGAACTGGTCAGAGATTCTTCCTTGGTCCCTACCCTGCCTCTTGTTTTTTTTTCCTAAACCAAGATTCCTGGGCCAAGAATAGAAAAATTGTGTTCCAACTCTGCAGTTCTCAGAGGCCCTCATATTGTCTGGGGGCTATGGTTCAGAAGGATCCAGGTGTATCAATTTTACTGCCCATGCCTGGATGCCACGTCTTCAATTACTTGTGTCCCCTTTGTGAAGCACAACAGAATGTACTTTCAGGAGTCTTTTGTATTCCTAGGGTTGAAAAATATTTGCATGTAAATGTTGGGAATCCAGACAGTCTCCATCCATAAGATCTATGCTTTGCATGGAGAAGCATACAGACCATTGGGGAGAGTTTGAAAACTAAATTTGCACCATTGCACCTTGTGTCCTTGCCTCATAGCATTGCGGTGACATCTGAGGAGGAGAGAGTGTGACATTGATCAAGGCAAAGCATAAATAACCGCATTTCAAATTGAATACTAATTGCATAATTACAGTTTCCAAACTATTAGCCTCCTTTACAAAAAAAGTTAATTCAACCAAGCCCAGAGCTGGCTGTTTCTTATGAGTTGTGCTGCCAGTTGGCAGGCACAACTTTGCAAGGAGATTGTGAGAAGTGAGGGTTATTGTAGTGGAAGCACACTCGGCCTTTTGTGAGGAGGGTACAAACTGTATCATTCTCTCAAGCCCCTGCTGTTCAGCGTTCAAGAGTGGACACCAGGATACTGCATGCTTCAGAGGAAGTTGCTTACTTTTCATAGAGGTGAAATGGCCCAGTGCCAAGACTTGGGGAGGAGCTTTGAGTTTGTAACCCCTTGAAGGAAACAGCTCTGGGAAGATGGAAGTGAACAGCACAGTAGCTGGGGAATCCCAGGCCCCGGGAAGGGCATGGCTGCACAGAGCTTGGCCTTCTCTGGGATGAACTGTGCCTACTCCTTCAGGCAGGCCATTCCATTGCTCATGAAGGTGTGTGTTTCCTCATCAGTAAAATCAAGGGAATGGGCTGGACGACCGTGAAAGCCCCCTCCAGTTCTGGGAGAATGCAAGGGTCTGTCTCTTCTTTAAGCTCAGTGTCTTCTAGAAGAAAGGCACTTTGCTTGGAAAAGTGGCATGAAATGATGGGACTGGTTCCCTGTCACTGCCATCCTTTCACTGCAGGAATTGTAAACGAGTTTGTCTCACTTGCCAAATTGATGAGGTCTTGTGTGAAAATACTTGGAAGGAAAATGAAAAAGTGCCTATGAAGAAGAGGAGCTGTCTGAGGCAAGGGTTCATTTGCTTTGGGACATCCTATTGTATTGCCTAGGTGGGAGGGAACATTAGAAGAGACCCCGGTCAGAATAATCTCCATAGGCATTCTTAGAAAGATGGTTATGTGATAATGGTTATGCTTTGATATCATTTGCCTGTAGCAAGTGTCCATTCAAGGGTAGAGAACCCCAGTTTATGAACTACTTTGTACTGACTCCTCCACTTCTGCTAATAGGAGGCCCTGATTTAGAGGATTCAAATTAGACAAGGTTGAATTTACCAATCAGGAGTTTCAAGGAATAACTCTTAGGGTGGCAGGGCTGGATGGGGTCCTGGAACTTTTGTTTATTTGTACAGACCCTGATTTTCCAAGAGGGTTTAAAGCATTCAGGGACCTGATGTTTAATAAGAAGGAAAGTGGTCAAGAATGGGAGAGAAGAATGATTGTGTTTCGAAACTGGCAAAAAAAAAAAAAAAAAGAAAGAAAAGAAACTGGCCAGGGAGGATGGCAAAGGGCATACAGGTGTATTCCTGGATATTCCTCCCTCCCAATCACCTCCTCACTGTGAAAGTCCTACATTAAATACAACTGCTTTGCTGATGTTTGACATCCCAATGTGTCAAAGGAGGGAAGAAAGAAAGGAAAAGTATTAGACAATCGTGCAAAAATCCAATGCTTTCCCCCAAAAATAAAGCCTCCCTTCAAAGTGAGAACATGTAACTGCTATGAAGCTTGTCCTTGGGGCCTCCTCTCTTCCCAATCCACCTTCTGTGAGAGGAAATTCTGGTGTCACTGTGACACCTTTATCTGAAGTCACTGTAGTCATTTCATAGCATGACTGTGGTCATAAAATGACTGTACATGGATAGAGATTGATCAAAATCAAAAGTTCTACTGAAAAGAAAGTGATGTTTTCAGAATAGTGATCCTGGCCTCCTTCTTTCTTTCATTTTTAGTTTTTGTTTTCATCCCTTGGCAGTTTTACATGAACCAAACAAAGGTGTGCTTCTTTTCAATGAGTGCTAATTCTGGAACATGGTTCAGAGGACCATTTCTTGGATGCTGAGGGTGACAGAATATACTTGAAGGTGTAACTGTCTGCTTCTGAGCTTGGGAAACTACAATAATAGCCTCTCTTGTACTGGGGGTAGGGATTAGAAAACAGAGAAGAACCCATTTCTGACCTTAGTGGAGTCCTTTCTTGTGTCTTTGAACTAGAATGATTCCTATTCCTATCACTTCCACAAAATGGAGAGCAGTGAGCAGCCATTTGGAGTTTGACTGCCACATTCCCTTATAGCCTAGATGGATGCTTGGCTGTCACATTGTCTTAACAGCCCTGTGAGTAGCCTCTTAGGAAGTTTCCCTTAGAGTCCATGGCTGTTGAGCTCCTTGACATGAATGGAACATGGCCCTGCCTGGAAACACCCTGCTCTCTGATTAGTGACTTATCCCTTCTGGTTGTGCACAGGGATGTGCTCCAAACCCAGCAGTGTGAGTATGAGGATTGTTGAAGATAGGGGTGGATTGTGGAAGGAAAATGTGTGGTTGCTGGAAACCAGCATGGGCACTGAAAACTCGGTGATATGCATTGCCTATTGATGGTGACTCAGGACTCAGGGTTATTGTTATGAAAGGAAGCCTCTCTGACATTATTTTAATGTCATTCCCTTAATAATTCACATGCATACCCAACTTATCTCATTTGGCACTCAAAACCAACAGATTAATCGCAACTTTATTGAAAATACAACATGCACTACAAGAACAACAGGCATTGATTTTGTTGTTATTCAATTCATTTAACAGATATTTAAAGAATTACTCAATGTTGTGCAATGCAGTTTTTATCTGGCAGAAAAAGTACTTTGGGAAATTTGTCATAAAGACTATACTTCAGAAAATGGGACCTGCGAAATGACCATTGATGACAGGGGCCCATGCCATACCTACGGGGGCCAGAGCAACGGGAGGCACAGGTGGTGGGGGAAGCATAGGCATCATAGGTGGCCCAGGGGGCAGAGGTGGCCCAGGGAGCACAGGTGGTAGGGGTAGCCCAGGAGGCATGAGCCCCCGAGGCACCAGAGGAACACATCTCCATCCTGGCTCTAGAATAGGGAGTGCAGGATAGGGCCCATCAAGGATCACCCCCACAGGATGGCCCAAGGCAACAGGGGCCAGATTTCTAAACATCAGGGCTCTCTGGTGTCTTCTCCACTTGGCTCTTCTGTTCTGAAACCAAACCTTCAATCAGAGAGGGAAAAGGGATTAGTTTAGTACACTGAGCAGTTAATGTCATAATAGAAAACACACAATATGCAATCCTGGCATTGAACTTTTAAATGGCAGTGGGAGAAGTCATTTCCTTATTGCTAAAATATCTTAGGAAAGCAAATCACATACCTCCCCTCAGCTAATCCTTAGAGCCATGGCTAGTCCAGCCTTGGGCACATTAATTTGTCTCTCTTCCCATTTTTAGTATTCTTTAATGTTTCTTTTTCCAGGTCTTGGATGTAGGTCTAACTGATAGAGTGCACTGGCTCCCTGATGTTGCACTGGCAACATCATTTGGCTCATTTGGGAGAGATTCCAATGTATCAGTGGTCCAATCTCAATCTCCCTAAACATAAGCAAAGCCCACATCTGGCAATTTTTGGTATGGCCAGTATTAGATCCATATTCCCAATACTGGTTTCATAAAAGAGGTCTAGTATGTTTGCAAAATGTGTGTGGGGGAAGCGTCTATTCAATTTCTTGGGAAGAAATTCATGCTGTAGAGCTTGAAAGTATGTGAGAATGTAGTCTTTTCCCTTCAGAAATCCATTGAGAGGACTATGTAAACCCGGGGGGTGGGGGCTGGGAAGCAACTCAGCAAACTTTGTTTTTCTTTTCCTCTGAGATTACCTTGCCTGCCTGAGAAAGTAGAGGACTGTCCTCTCTATCTAAGACCAGGTATGACTCTTAGTTCAGCATGTGGTATTAGAATGCCAGCATTCAGTGCCTGATCTCCTGCATACTACCAACAGAAGTGTAGCACGTTTCCATCAATGTACTTGGGACAAAACTACCATTATATATATAATATATATGTATATATATTTGGGGGGATATTTCTTTGACATACCTATGATTTTCTATGACTTCAAATATTCACTTATTTGATCCTCTGACCAACAAATGAATAACTTCCTGAAAAGTGCTTTAAATTTACACAAGTAAGAATCTGGCCTGAAATGAGAGCACCCTCAAAATCAGATTCCAGAAAATAAAAAATCCTTTTCAAAATAATACCACCAAAAAAAGCAAAAAAAAAATAGCTTAGAGTGTTAAAAATTCCCCAAGAGAATATTCATTTATACGTTTGGTAGTCTCATAAAGTTGAATTTGTGTGGCATCAGCTATGTACATATTTGAATGTATACAATACTTCTCCAAACGTTCACCTTTCCTTAGGTCAGTGGAACTTCATTAAATATTGTTCCCTTTTTTTTTGTTCCATTTGTTAAGACAATTTTCCTTTCCCCATTACTACCATATTTCTAATATTTCACCAATGTTTTCAGGCTGACATTAAAGTCTTCCAAAAAATTAAAATGTAAGGCTGTCACTCTCTATGCTGCTTTACAAAACACTTAAAAAATGGTAGTAGGACCAGGCACTTGGACTTTTAAGCTACCCTCCCACCCCAGTTTCAGTTTATTAAACATATATTATTTACTCATGCACTGTGTTATGTGTGAATTACTCCTTCACTCCAATGTCTGAATATTTATAAATTAAGTAATCTAGCCTGGAGCTCATACCTGGTTTTAAATATTTCAAATAATTTAGTATGGTAAACCTTATGACTTAGCTCTTTAGCGCATTAGTTTGTATACTTCCCAGGTGGCACTGAGCCCCAACATGATTCTACACAGAAATATTCCTTTAGTGAGGACTAACATCGTTCATGAAAGGTATCAGTGTTAAAAGGAGATGAACTTTATTGGGGGAAAAAAGTGTGTGTGTGTGTATGGGTGGGTGGAAGGAAGGACATGTGTATTGCATTTTTTTTTCCTTTAGGAAATCCTATTTCCCCTGGTAATGGGAAATTTCTAGATGCTCCAGCTTACTTATCCCATTTCCCACCCCCAAGGCACTTAATGTTCAAAACTTATTTGTTAAACATGGAAAGGCAACAAAACACATCAACTTCAGAATGTCTGGGACCAAATTTCAAGTATGTTTTAAAATGGCTGCCCTGGGCAGCCGGGGTGGCTCAGCGATTTAGTGCCGCCTTCAGCCCAGGGTCTGATCCTGGGGACCCAGGATCGAGTCACACGTCAGGCTCCCTGCATGGAGCCTGCTTCTCCCTCTGCCTATGTCTCTGCCCCCCTCTCTCTTTCTCTCTCTCTCTGTGTCTCTCATGAATAAATAAATACAATCTTTAAAAATAAATAAATAAATAAAATGGCTGTCCTGCACCAAATGTTCTTTTAAGATTTACTGACCTGTACTCTGGCTTCAGTCAAATTCAGACGGCCTGCAATCTCTTCTCTGAGGGAGGAACGTTACAAATGTTCAGCATTTGAAGTTGTGGATAAAATGAAGTATATCCTGTACATTATTTCTATACCCCCACCCAGTGTAGCTTTCTGTAATACAGCTTGAGGCTTGCTTTAGGCAGTTTTCTCACGGACAACTTATCTGTATTAAATCAGTTAGAAAAAGGGAATCTATGTGAAAGTTCCTGGTAGTGTGTCAGTTAGTTGAATATGAGTCAATTTTTCAGTTTGTGGGACAGCTGAGAACAACCCTGGAAATCTTTTCTTGGAGGTCCCTCTGTGAAAATAAATAAAATGCCAAAAGCCTTTAAAGCGGGGTTTTGACCCAGAGTGTTTCCAGGGTTTATTGTAAAGGGAGAGAGAAATTCTCAAGGAGGAACTCCAAACCATTGGCTGAGCGCTCACTGGAGATTCTTTTTTTTTTTTTTTTTGTTCTTTGGTGGGCGCAGAACCAGAAAGAGTGCTCCCAAACCTCTCATCCACACGTTCTGATACCCCTTTCCTGCTGGGCCTGAATAGGCCTGCTTGTTTGTACACTAGAGGATGGGGGATTGGAACCACTAGGGCTCCAGGGAAAGCAAAGGAAGGGGAAAAGCTCGATGGCTTTAAAAAACTCTAGACACTCTGCGGCCAGGAAATAGCGCTCCACGTGGCAGGGCCAAGACTACGATGAGGCACGAGAAGTGCTGGCTTCGTGTGCAAAATTTCAATTTTTTTTTGGCGGGGAAAATACTGAACAACCACGACTAATATTTTAATGCAATACTCAAAATAGAAAAATTAAGGCAAAAATTCATGAGGAACAGATTAGCAAAATTTTAAATAAAAAAATTGGGATCAATCCGTCCTCCCTTACTTGCTTCACCCTAGTTTTGCTACTGCTGTCTCGTGGCCCTGCAAGCTCTAGTATGCACTGTTCCAACCCCTGACAGCAAGGACGGACCCTGACGCCCTCGAATCCCCAGGGCGGCTTTTGGCTCAGGAGAGGAGGAATACGGTCCCAGGAAAAGGCCTAAGACTCCATGGGATGGGCCTGAGCCCCCTGGAGAACTGAGCGCCTAAGGAACAAGACACTTACCGCGCGAACAAGTCAGGGTACTGAGTGCGATGGAAAACGCCCTCCAGCTCCTGCAGCTGCAACTGGGTGAATGCGATGCGGCTGCGGCGCTGCTTTCTCTCCACGATCAGTGGCCCCTCCACGGCTGGGGGGGCCGGCTCCTCCTGCTGCTGTGGGAGCTCCAGGCCATAGCCAGGGCCGTCCTCCTGGTTTTCGCCGTCCAAGAGATTCGGCTCTCCGGAGCCAACATGGTTTGCGGCCGCCGCTTCGCGCTCAGATTCCGGCCGTGCATCCTCTTCTCCTCCCATTATAACCGACGAGTTGGCTCCACGATTGGCTTCACATCTGGGAAAGGAAGAACGCAAAAGAGAGGCCCGAGCGTCGGAGCCCACGGTGAGTGAGCTGAGTAGATATGGGGTCGCAAAGGAAGGCAGAGGTGAAAGTCGTGCAGTGGCCCATCCACCCGGCCCTCCCAGGGAAGTTTCTTTCCTGGAGTTTGCTAAAGCACCTGCCCCTATCTAGGCACTGACCATACTGTTCTTCCTCTTCCTCATTGACACCCAGGTTGCGGTAGCCGGTGTCGTAGTGGCTGCTCCCGAAATTATGCTCCATGTTCGCAGTGCTGTCAATGAAGTCTAGAGAGTCCACAGACTATTCTCTGGGGCTCGCGACGATTCTTGGGTGGCGCCGGGAGCTGACACAAACTACCCAGTGAGGTGCCCTTCTGGCGCCGGGACCTCTTCTGGCGCGGATTCTGAGGCTTGCGCGCCTTATATAGGGGGCACGTTGCCTGCCTCAGGTTCAAAGTGTACACCCTTGCGTCGGTTAGACGCCCTCTGTTAGCCTTCACGTTACCTCTAGTTCGTGTTGGTGGGACCTGATGGGGGCGTGCTTGCGGCCAGGCCGGGTAAGTAAAATAGGGCGAGTGTTTGGGAGAATGGGCATGCTTGTGTGGAGAACTGTAATTCCAAATTGCAATTTAACTGACTAATCTCAACTCGGATGAAATATTTAATTGGAAGATTAGGCTGTGCTGGATCGAGAAAGCCGCCTTGGGGGGTGGGGGTAAGACTTCACTCTAGGTCTAGGAGTTTGTGGAGAAATGTTTCTAACATATTCCTCCGCGCAATCTTCAATATTCCCCGGATTGTGAAAGAAGCGGCGTCCCTTGCTTCCTCCGAGGGGAAAAACCGGGGAGATAGGGCTGTGGAAAGCGTGGAAACCTCAGCGGCCCAAGCATGCCAAAGCCAAGTTAAGTCTACCTTGCGTTGGGCTCTGAGCCTGGCTCTCTCCTCCTAGAATTTGGTGACTAATGGATAGGACCATTTGGTTCTGTTCTATTTACACCCAAAGTCCTTGTATCAGGCTAGTGATTAAGACGAAACAATTAGCTTGGAGCCTGCTTGCATTGGGTTTTTGCGATCAGATCCCACCAGATCCCACCGTGTATTCCGGGAATGATGGTTTTTAGTTAGGTTTGCTGAGCAGTCCGGGTGCTCACATGCGCGCTGTGAGAAACTCAACCTGCCTTTTTAGAAAGCTCCAAGGACTTCTGATTTTTAGTAATGAATCCACGTCAGATGCAAGTGTAGAAACCTGCCAAGTGCTTAGTGCATCCAAAACTTCCTGTGCTGCACGGGCTCCTTCCTTCAGTTCCTGGCACGTGCAAAATTCACTGTGCTTCTTACTGCAATCCCCACTCTGCAGGGCGCCGAGAGTACGCCTTATTCCAGAGCCAGTACCTGTAACAGGCACCTAAAGCCAGTCTTATTCCCAGGCCTGTACTGCAGACCTGGGAAGGGTTCCCTCCTTTACCACTACTTCTTATCCCCTTCCTTTTCTACAGTTCTCTTCCTGAGCTGGTTTTCTCCACTAATGTGCCAAATAAACAAGTACCAGGCCACGATTGAAGGCTTTATGGTTCTTCCTCCAAGAAGTGTTTGCAGGTGCTCCAGGACATGTTTATGTCCTTTGTATTTAAGAATGAGTTTTAATGATGGGCCGTCTGCTTGGCACTGTACAGGATTTATCCTACTTTTACCTTTACAAACACCATTATTATCATCCCTATTTTTTTATGCAGAAAACAGAGCTCTAGGGAAATGAGGAAGTGTGCCCATCCATGGTCATATCAGCAAGTTTGACTACAAAGTCTGTGCACTTTTCTCCCCCTCCCCCTGCTCTGCTTCAGGCCTCTTTCTCCTTGCTGAGTCTCTCTAAGTCAGAAGTTTGGGACACAGCTTGCTCAACACTGAGGGGACACTTGACAGGAGCAGGGTGCTACTTGCACCTGGCTGCTGAGTTGGTTACTTGAAGACAGGGGGACCTGGAGGTGAGGAAACACACCCTCCCATTCCAGCCACACTAGGACTCTTCTGAATCCCAAGCATTTTTGCCTTCCTGGGCCCTTTCCTCCATATGTATATTATATATGTATATATTATTATATACATATACATATTATTATATTATATAAAATTAATATAAGTTTTTATATAATAATATATATTTCACAACTGGGTTGATATAAAGATAAATGTAATGTGGTTTGGATTATATTATTTTTTTCTTTTTGATTTCAAAAGAAATTAAAATATTTTCCTGGGCTCCGAAAAGTATGGTGGGTGGTGGGTACTGTGACTGCTGTGACTACAGCAGAGTTTCCCCTGCCTCATGTTCCCACAGGTGGCAGGTAGGAAACCAGCTAATAGATGGTTGGCTGAAGAATTCATTTTCATTTTTTAAAAGATTTTATTTATTTATTTATTTATTCATGAAAGACACACAGAGAGAGGCAGAGACATAGGCAAAGGGAGATGCAGGCTCCCTGCAAGGAGCCCGATGTGGGACTTGATCCTGGGACTCGGGGATCATGTTCTGAGCTGAAGTCAGACGCTCAACCACTGAGCCACCCAGGCATCCCAAGAATTCATTTTCAAAAAGAGGTCAAGGCATGACAACTCCACAGCCACTGTCTGACTTTAGTCAAGATATTTCTTCCTCAGGCAGCTCTTGCTGAGTTCTGGCCTCCCTCTATTTGGCTAGATACTTGGTGAACAGTTTTGGTCTGGGATGAGTTATTACACAAGAGATCTATACAGGTTTTAATCATAGTGTGCAGTAGCTGACCCAGTACATTGGTAAAGGCTCAGGTGTGTTCTCTCACATCTTAGATTTCCATGGTTTCCTCCAGCATTTTCTAAACCTCATTCATGTGCCCCTTATTTTGCCATACCTGGGTACCAGCCATGGTACTATTTAATTAACATGTTTACTTAAATTGATTCACTTTTTGAAAACTTTAAATACGGGACTCTTGGGTGGCTCAGTGGTTGAACGTCTGCCTTTGGCCCAGGACGTGATCCTAAAGTCCTGGGATCAAGTCCCACATTGGGCTCTCTGCATGGAGCCTGCTTCTCCCTCTGTGTGTGTCTCTGCCTCTCTTTCTGTGTCTCTTATGAATAAATAAATAAAATCTTTAAAAAAAAAGAAAACAAAACCTTAAATACCTAATTGCACATCATGCTAGGCAAAAATAGCTATGACTTCAAGGGTTTGATATACTAGATTTATGGGAGGTAGGATGTGACAATAGTTGAGAGCAAGGATCCTGAATCCAGAATGCTGGTTTCTGAATTCTAGTTTCAATTGCCACTTGCTAGCCAGATAACCTGGTGAGTTAGTTGCTTATTCTTGTGCCTCTGTTTTTCTCATCTGTAAAATGGGAATAACTAACAATACCTATTTCATGGAGTTGTTCTGAGGAGTAGTGGAAATGATCACAATAGCTAACACTTAGCTAATTCTCGCTAGGTGGCAAGCACTGTTGAAAGTGCTTTCTATATATTAACACATTTAATTCTCATAACAATTCTATGGAGGTAGATACTGCTATTATCTTCATTTTATGGATAATGTTATTGAGGCATGGAGAGGTTAAGTAATTTGTCTAAAGGCTTCCAGCTGGTAAATTTTGGACCTTGGGTTTGAACTTTCTTCAAATGATGCTTTGTAGAGAGAACATGTTCAATTATGGTACATTATGATTTTGTAAAAAATAAATATACTTTACTATTCAGTCATTTCTAGTATATTCGGTGCTGTGCAACTATCACTATTGTCTAATTCCAGAACATTTTCATCACTTTGTAAAGAAAGTCAGTACCCATTAGCAGTCATTTCCTAGTCCTTACCTCCCTGCAACCCTGATATACACTAATGTACTTTCTATCTCTATGGATTTTCCTATTCCAGATATATAATACAGATGGAGTCATGCAATATGTGACAATTTGTGTCTGGCTTCTTTCTCTTAGCATGGTGTTTTTGAGGTTCATACATTTTTAGCATGTGTCAGTACTTCATTCCTTTTTATGGCTAAATAATATTTCATTGTATAGATATACTACATTTTTTATATATATTTTGGAGATATCATATATCTTCTTTGGAGAAATTTCTGTTCATCTTTTGCCCATTTATTAATTGAGTATTTGTCAATTGTAGAGTTGTAAGAGTCTTTATATATTTGGGATACTAGACTCCTTATGATGTGATTCTTTAAGTTTTCTTTGCAACTTCTTGATGGTGTTCTGCAATGTTTGCAATCACAGGCCAGCCCTCATGTGGCTTTAGAGTTCAAATGAACACTATAAACACAGTCTAATTCAATCCTGGTAGCAAATTCAGACATATGGCAAAAGCAAATCTAATTTTTTTTTCTGGAGGAGTCTACCCTTAACTGAGGCTTTAACAAGATTCTTACAGACAAAACCCAAACACACGTATTTTTTAAAAATATTTTATCCACTTGTTAGAGAGAGAGTGAGCAAGTGAGAGAGAGAGAAAGAGAGAAAGAGAACATGATCAAGGGGATAGGGTGAAGTGGACTCCCCACTGAGCGGGGAGCCCGATGGGGGGGGAGTTTGATCCCAGGACTCCGGGGTCATGACCTGAGCCAAAGGTAGCCGCTTAACCGCTTAACTGACTGAGCCACCTAGGTGCCTCCACACATTTTTTTTTAAAGCTACCATCAGGGGCACCGGGGTGAAAGAAAATTTATTTCACTTTGCATAATGTTGCCTGAGTTTATCCATGTGGTGGGATGAATCAGGTCTTCATTCCTCTTACTCAGAGGCATCAGATACTAGCCTCCAGAAGCTAAGTGTCAAGATAGTCTGGAGCCGATGTCCCATACAGAGGCTCAGGGTGACTCAGTTGTGTTTTGGCACTACCACATTGAGATGACACATTTATCTGCCTTCATCTTGTTGAAGGGTGCTGGGCTGATGATGCAAGCTTAGACTCCCAAGAGCAGTCCTTCTGGGCACCTGGGTGGTTCAGTGTTTGAGCGTCTGCCTTCGGCTCAGGTCATGATCCCGGGGTCCTGGGTTTAAGTCCCACATCAGATCCCTGCATGGAGTCTGCTTCTCCCTCTGCCTCTCTTTCTGTGTCTCTTATGAGTAAATAAATAAAATATTAAAAAAGGAGTCCTTCTGCTAGGCAATAATCACTCTGTGAAGGAGCTATGATCCTTAAAGATCAGAGGTCTTTATTCTGGTCTGTAAACCAGATAGTTTCTAAGGACTTTAGCAGTCAAGATAGCTGTAATA